TGAAACCTTGTATCATGACCTCAAATTTGTAGGTTATACCAACATTGTAAAAAATGAAATGTAAAATTTAAGAATCAACATAATAAAGAGTAAGTATTTAATGAAACTTGTATTTTAGTGTGCATGTGTGTGTACCTCAGATTGGATGTGAATATTATTTCTTACTGTGGATTGTTTAAAAATTGTTTAAGCCATAATAATGAAACTTACCAGGTAGAATATGAAAGAAAAAAAAAGTGCTAGAGGACTGGGATATTCAGATGGGAGAGGAAGCAGAGAGTGGCCACCCCAGGGCTGTGGAAGTGGAGTTCATTGGATCTTCAGGGGAACCTCTGGCTTGGTGGGTGTCCAATGGAAAGGGACCCAGAATCACCGTAGATTTAGTACATCAGTGCCCCCCTTGCGTGGATGTGACAGGTTTTGCTCTGTTGAACAGGGATCTGTATTTGAAAGAATTGATCCAGAATGCTTTTCCCTGGCACCAGTCCACATGTTCCATATAAACAGGCTTCAGTGGAATGGGAGCTGAACTGTGTGTAGCAACAATTCATGGGTTATGGCTTGAGATGGCACTGTACTCGATTAGAGTTCTCCTCCGACCGCGCTTGGAGTTCTGTGTCGTTCGAAAAATCGTTGATGTTATCAGTGTAATCACCTTATACCCAAGGGGAATGATTGACAAAATTTTTCTTTTTTGTTTCTTTGGGGTTTTGTTTTTCTGCCTTTTGTTTGTTTGCTGGTTGGTTTGTTGCTGTTGTTATTGGTCTTAGGGGTTTTTGTTTTTTTTGTCATAGCAGGACTGCCACAGTAAACCAGAGTCGTGCCTATCCCATGGACAAGCAGATGGATTCTGGGCTCCCACTTAACTGTAGCCCCAGTACAAGAACAGTTGGTTCTGATAACATGGCTCTGCTTGATACTCACCTTCATGAAATGATCACTGAAGATAAAGGCGATACAGCAAAGTGTGGTGAAGGAAGCCGATGGTGTCCAGTTATCAATTGAAATAGTGTCTGGGGTCTTATAGATTTGTATTCAAACAAGCAACCATCTAAGTGAGAAATCAACTAAGTCCACATGGAAGAAGCATACCAGCTTGTGTGATCCAAAGATGACAATTACAAAATCCAAATATGGTAAAGGGGGAAAAGTATCAGAGCTTAAATTGTGAATACTTAGTTTGTAGAAGGTTATGGAGGCTAGTGGGAGCCCAAAACCTCATCTGCAGAATATCTAGTCAGATTTAGCCATTGGCGGACCCCTCTTGTGCCAGGCCAGGGACTCAAACAGCTTTACTATCTGACAGAGATCATGTAAACTTGATTATGGTAGCTCTTGACCCAACTTGAATTTGTTCTAGGCTCAAGAATTTCTCCCTTGTTCCATGACAAAAATTTCTTTCTGGCTTTTTAAATATTGATGGCGGTCTTTTCTTGCTTACTCATCTTTCTTACTTGTCCATGAATATTTTTATCTTTATATTATTCTTATTTTATCCTTGCTATTTTAATTTGTTTTTATTGTTTCTATTGGGTTTTCCAGTTTATGAAGCACAGAAGAATAGATGCATAGAGATAATAACATGCAGTGGTTTATCGGGGATGAAGGGGGCAATGGGCGATAGGGAGAGTGAGGGGGTTGGGGAGCAAACAATGAATGCAGGAGTGGGGAGGGAACACTAGAACTGATTGTGATTATGTGTGTACAATTCATTTTAAAAGTGAATGCACCATGGAAATGTGTGATATATGAAGACTATATCAAGAAAATATGGGGCAGAGGGGAAGGAAAAAAAGAAACTAAATTTGACCAGTGGTTACCGTAGGTAAAGGGGAAAGTTGCTGCATAGGGGCATTGAGTTTGTGTTAAGGGTAGTAGAATAGTTTGGAAAAGGATAGCAATGGTGGTTGTACAATATGAAGGGTAAAATAAATGCCACTGAATTATACAAGTAGAAGTTGTGGAATTGGAGAATGTTTTGTATATATTTTTGCCACAATTAGAAATAAAAATTGCGGGGGAAAAAAAAAAGAAATAAAAATTGCATGAATAACAATGACTACAAGGAAGAAGAAAATGTTCTGGAATTGAATATGGTGACTGTGTTAGTCTGGGTTGACTAGAGAAACAAATTCATAGAGACATATGTATGTGTATAGGAAAGAGCTTTATGATGCCCGGCTATCAAAAGATATAGTGTCTGGGGTCTTAAAGGCTCATTGAAGGTAAAGGCAAGCAGCCATCTAGCTTAGAAGCAACAAAGCCCACATGGAAGAAGCACACCAGCCTGTGCGATCACGAGGTGTCAAAGGGATCAGGTATCAGGCATCATCAGAACAAAAAATCTTACCATAGTGAATGATGGGGGGAGTGTGGAGTGGAAACCCAAAGCCCATTTGTAGGCC